ATAATATAATTTTGGAGATTAGGAGGAATCCATAATTTACTTCCTCTTTCTGTTTCTTTATATAAAAGTCTTTCTTTCGTAAAGAAACGTTTACCTTTTGGCCACTCTTGTTTAGGTATTCTCATTAAATATTGTAAGATAATTTCTAAAGGAATGTAGGGAGTGATTTCTTCACTAAAGAAAGCAGGGGTTAGGTAGTTGCATATTTTATTAATGGGAGGATATCTAGACAGTGCATCAGCATGGGGGATATTTTTTCCTTTTTTATATTCCACTTTATAATTAAATTCATTTAAAGTGGTGAACCACTTAATGGCTCTTTGACTATCATTGTGTCGTTGTTTACTTAGAAAAGGAATTGCTATATGGTCAGTTTTAATAATGAAGGGATAACCCCAAAGGAAAGACCTAAATTTCTGTACTCCGTAGAATACTGCAAGAATCTCACGATCGGTATTAGGATAATTACTTTCTGTAGTATTTAGGGACCTTGATACGCATCCTATTAAATTTTCATGTTTTCCACTTTTTTGGGTTAAAACTGCACCAATAGCAATATTGGATGCATTGGTTGTCAGAATAAATTCTCTACTGAAATCAGGAAATGCCAAAACAGGTGCTGTCATTAAACATTGCTTTAAACTTTGCACAGCATTTTCTTCTTCATCAGTCCATTTAAATTTACAATCCTTTTTTAATAAATTATGTAGGGGTTTTGCTAGTACAGCATAGTTTTCTATATGGGCTCTAAAATATCCAGTCAAACCCAAAAAGGCTTGTACACTTTTAACATCAACTGGTGTTGGGAGTTCTCTAACTGCTTTTAGTTTTTCTTAGGTAATACGAATTCCTTTATTACTGATTAGGAAACCAAGATATTCTATTTCATTCAAGAAGAATTGGCATTTTGAAAATTTTACTCTCAGACCTGATTGTTTTAGCCTATCAAAAACATTATTAAGATGAGTTACATGTGAAATGGCATCAGGAGAGTACACGACTATATCATCAATATAGATGAAGGCATAATTACCTAAACATCCGTCTAATACTAGATTCATCATACGTTGGAAAATACTAGGAGAGTTTTTTAATCCCATCGGGAGTTGAATAAATTCATAATGTCCAGAGGGTGTAGAGAAAGCAGTTTTATGTCGTTCATCAGGATGTATTTCTAAATTATAAAATCCATGTAAAAGGTCAAGAGCTGTGAAATACTTAGCCTTGCCTAATTCTTTGAAGATTTGGTGAATACGAGGCAACGGATGGGGATCCGTTATGACGTGGTCATTCAGTTTTCTGAAGTCAACTACCATTCGCCAGCCTCCGTCTTTCTTTTTAACCATAAGAGTGGGTGAATTATAGGGTGAAGTTGAATTAGTTATTATTCCTTGTTTTATTAGATCCTCTACAAACTGATCTAATACTTGTCTCATTTTATAAGGGGTAGGATACTGTTTTGTATACACAGGCTTGTCTGTGTCTAGTGGAATAGTGGGTTTATATATATTACACAGTCCTAGTTTATCTGTTTTTCTTGCTAAAACAGTGGCATACTTAGTTAATAATTTCTTAACTTCGCCTTTAAGATGCTCAGGACACTTTGATCGTTCTAAAGCATTCTTTATCATGGACGTAGTCGTCTTCTCTGATTCCTCTTCCTTACCATGTATATGTACTATTTTGTCATGAATATTTTTGGTGAATGATAATGCAACTAAAGCGTCATCATCCATTAATTCTGCGTGAGCAAGAGTGTAACTAGGGTCCAAAGTTAGTTCATTTTCTGTTAAATTAATACAGAGTGCAAATGTATGACCCTGAGAGTTTATGGTAGAGAGTGATCTTCCGATGATCAAATTTCCTTTAGAATCAATTAAAGGATTAATTAATATGTCTTTTCCGTTTAGGATTTTAGAATTGTCTTTTGACATCTTTAATTTAATTATTTGTTGCAATAACGGGGCAATAATTTGCTTGGATAGAGGGTATAGTTTAAAATTAGGATCCTTGTCTTGAATGAATCGGGAAGTTATTTCAATAGAATCTTTTAGTTCAAAAGGTATTTTATGATCGTTAATTTTTATTTCTTTGTTTTTATAGCAAATTCGAACGGCATTATCTCTTAACCAATTGGTTCCCAATATCCCTACAAAGTTTGGAGTACAGGGACGGTCTATAAGAAGGAACGAAATATTACTGATAAATTTATTTCCACTATATAGAGATTTTTCTGTAGATCCAAGGACAGAGATACTGTTTCCTTGTAAGGTGTTGATTATCACATTACTGGGAAAGGAGGGATCAGAATTATAATAAGAATCTAAAATGGATATTTCCGATCCTGTGTCAATGAGGAAACGTAAAGGGGGATCCTCTTTCTTGATAGAGATTGTAACAACTGGTAGACGTGAAAGAGAGACGTCTCTAGTTAATAATCGTTTCCCAAATTGTTAGGTGTATTATAGTCATATTTATTGTAGAAGTTAGATTCAACATAGTATTGCTCGTCTTGTTCTTGGTCGTAATATTGATCATATTCTTTGTTATTTTCATCATTGGTATTTAAGTATCCGAATTCTTCAGTCATCTCGTCTGTTTCTTCATCAAGATTAATTAGGGTTTCTTCAGAATACTGATAATCATCTTCCTCATTATATTCTTCCGAAGGATTATTATTCTGATAACTTCTTTGGTCCTCGGTTACATTATAGTAAACACGTCGGGTATTTCCTATAGGTCTTCTATTAGAATTTCCTGTCCGTCCTCTAGATACAATCCTTCCTCTAATATTATTTCCTCTTGAGGAATTGCTTTGTCTATTTTGAGGTGAAGATTGGGAATTCAGTCTTTGACCTTTAGGTGGAAAGGTCCTTTTATAAGGGATCTGATTATTAGAAGAATATTGTTGGGAATTGTTGTTTCCTTGGCGCATAGGAAGACGATTGGATCGCCTCATAGATGGACGATTATTTTGTTGACTATTCATTATATTTTGGGACGCGTTCTTATAATTTTGTTGGTTGTTCCAGGGTACTTTATGTGGGCATTCAGCTATGTAATGACCATGCAATCCACAACCATAACATGGTTTGTTATTCGCATTGTACACCTTTTGCGTAAAGTTGGGTTTATTAGGAATAGCGGTATGTCTATTATAGGTTCCATTACCTCTTCTGATGTTGAGTTGAAATGTATCACAAGAGTAGACAAGGCGTCCAGTAGTTATTAACATTCTTTCGATTTTTATAGCTGACTCCACGGCTGCGTCATAATTGTCGGGAATTTCTGCCATTCTTTCTTGTATATGAGGTTGTAATCCAGTGATAAATTTGTTAAGCTTTATTTCCGACAATAAATTATTTCGACACTGTGAACTTATTACTTCTTGTTCATACGTTGGATTAGTAACAAAAGTTTTTACACCTTCTTGTCTTAGAACTTTTATTTCTGGAATATAATCAGTATTAAGTCTGCTTGCTGCTAGGTTTAAACGCAATGAAAAATCTTGAACTTTCTCGTTTATGCCTTGTTTGATATGGTCTAGAGTAGCTATTCCATCAGCAAAGTTTTTTGGTTCAAAGTAATTTCTTAGAAATCGAATAATAACCTGATAAGGTTTATGTCGCAATCCAGTTTCAGATTCTATTAAATTGTTTGCTTTAGCGTTTACTTTGGAGAGTAACAGATTTTTAATTTGCTGATCGTTCATTGGGTTAGCTTGAAGTAATGTTAGAAATCGGGAGTACCAGGCACTCCATGCTATGGTATTGCATTCTCCAGAAAATACAGGTAGGTTACTAATAAAAGCGTTGGCCGTCTGGATATTAGGAGGGATAAAGCTTTGGCCTTGTGATTGATTCCATACAACCATTTCTTCGGGAGTAGGAGTGTCTAAGGTACCCAAAAGGGTATTAGTCATTATTGCTTTTTTCAATTCCGTAGTTTCTGCAAGATTAATAGTTTTTTCTATTGCTTGATCCTGGATGAATTGTGCTAATAACGCGTTATTCCTATCGCTTAATTCTTTTTGGGCTTCATGGATCTTTTTCAGACTAGCACTGGTATCCTTTTCTAATTTCTCTAGATCAGAAATAGTAGATTCCAGTTGAAGTATCTGTGTCTCTATCATATCTTTACGGGTTTGTCCAGCGTTTGGTAATTCCTTTTGTAATTGGGTTATCTTTTGACGGCGTTCAAGAATAGATCGTTGTAGGAAATTGATTTGGTCAGATGGTGCTAACTGGAGAAATTCAGGAGGCATTTTATTATTATCCAAAGAAGCAGCTGCCAACTTGAATAATCGTGATGCAGATGTATTTGGATTTTGTGAAGGTAAAATACCTGGGTTTTGGGGTGTAATGATTGTAGCATCTAACCCTTCTTCAAGGGTTTCCTCAAATTGATTTTGTTTGCTATTTGCCATTATTATTGAAGTAAGTTTATACTATTATTGGCTGTATTTTATGAATAGGTGGTAAGTCTAAGTTGGTTAGTAGGGGTAAATAGTAGAAAGGTCGCTTAAATATTATACACGAAGTAAAATATTTAATTGTCCTGAGTTAGTAACAATTATTCGTCGCTCTTTAAATTAAGAGGATCTTCTTTTTTACGCGCCTTGGTCTCTTCAGGTGTTTCAAAGTCTTCTGGTCTTTTAACAGGTAAGACTAGTTGGACGTTAGAGTGTTTAACGAATTCTTTGAATATTATAGACTCTGAGGAATCTCCGTATACTAACGCAAAAGCCTTTTCCGTAATTTCTTTGTTATATAGTTTGGCTTTTTGAATAGAGGTTAGCGATTTGTTGGATTTAGAGTCTGACATAAAAGTATTGAGTTAGGAAATAATATACTTGTATGAATACAATAATACAATAAGTACAATTAAAAATAGAAATACAATAGTATTACACAAAAACTCTTTCACACAATCAATCAACGTTTCTAGCACACGTTACTTTATTTTAACGGTTTTTTCCAAATTTTTTGATTTGTTTGAGTTTTGTAAAAAATACCTTGCTTCTTGAACCGTCTCCTTTCCTTGGACGACGTTCCTTGGTCAACGCCACACAGGGCCGTTACCGTTTGAGGTCAACTCCACCACTGGGCAGTTACCTTTTAATTCTGGCCAACACCTCTTACGGGCAGTTGCCTTTGTCTTTTGGCCAACTCCTCTCGTGGGTAGTTGCCTTCTTCTTTTGGCCAACTCCTCTCGTGGGTAGTTGCCTTTTCTTTCACTTTGCAATTTCAGCACTTTTTCAAATTTCAGCACTTTTGCTTTTTCGGAACTCTAACTTTTTGGACACCAAGAGTCTTGTGCACTAGCTGCACTTAATCCACCCGGCGCAAAAAGGAGCACCGACTGCGCCACTTTTTGTTGTCCGGTTTCCAAAATTAAATAAAAATTTGACAATGTGTCTTGTCTCCTTCCTTGTTAGCTTTAATTTAGAAACCTTCCAACTATTACGTTTAAGTTCTCTCCTTGATGTCCGGGAAACTTCTTCCAGTGTCCAATATTCAATCTTTGAATAAGTGTAGAGTCCGTATATCTTCAGCAGATATATTTCTATCAACGTACTCGTCTCCTTTACAAGGTTATAGACAACACTGAACTTGCGCAGGCGAAAACAATGATTTATATAAACTTTGATCCGTAGTTTGATTGGCGGAATAAAGAACAAGGAAAAGGGGCTTTCTATCTTCAAGAGGGATCTGGTCAGCAACAGAGTTTTGGAGCTGAGAGGATCATTTGGTTTTATAATGAAGTGATTTGTGATATGGATAAGGATAAGAGTTGATGTCGCTGTCGAGGCGTCTCGGGACGCAGAGAGAATATTAAGCATCGGGAATATAATATTACTTTGTTGCAAAGTAATCAATGCATCAAAGGATCACCTGAAAGTTTCGCCTCGGGGTACTTCCCAAGTATTGTCATATTTTGTCACACTGATAACAAATCTTAGTTTAATCAAATTTTCTTTTCAAAAAGTTATATATTACCTGTGTATCACTTGCACCTTCCCTTTATTCCTTTATGTTCAATAAAAACGTGCGTATTTATAGGGTACTTTCATAGATGTGATGGTACATTGCTTTTTCAGTAATACAGTATAAATAAATAATTAATTGATTAACAAGCAAATATTTTCATAGCGCCTGTCGAACTAGAGTTTTGTGTCAAACCAGATAGCACTGCAAATTTTTATACTGAGAATAGATTTTAAACCCGGAGAAAGTGGAAATCTGTGCTTAAAGAAATATAAAAAAATAAGCAGCGATGATAAAGATCAATACTCGTCATTCAGGACAAAGAAAAACGCCTTTCATGACCCTCATTAATCCAGTTTCTTTTACGAGCACATCCCCGAGTTGAAAGTCGTGAATGGTTAATATTGTATAATATACTCGTGCCTTTCTGCATTGTTTCATTCTTCCACACTGGCGGTGAGCTGCGAAGAAGGAAGAAAAAGGGCCCCAGAGAGAGAGAGAGAGAAGCGATCCATTACTGCCCGACGGGGGGAGTATTTATTCTGGCGGTCATTGATTACTCCGGGGCGGCTGGTGGTCGCCCCGGGGGGCGCCTCTCCCCCGGGGGCGCCGTTCGCACGGTTGTCGGCGTTTTGTGTCTCTATCAATATTGTCGATTCATTTCCGCTCCGTTTTCAGCCCCCCTCTCTGGAATGAAACGCTCTCTCGTTGACTCGATCTTCAATCCGATGGCATATCTAAATATTGACTGAAATAGAATAAAGTCTTATTATTCTCCACTATTAGAATTACTTTCGTAATTTATATGCAGAAATGTGCGTTCTTCACGAAAATAATTATGTGAAATGTGTATGTATTCCTTGGTCTCTTTTCTGGAAATTTTTTTTTTTTTTTTGGATCTTCAATCCGATGGCAAATAAGTATTGACTGAATTAGAATAAGGTCTTAGTATTCTCCACTATTAGAATTACTTTCGTAATTTATATGCAGGAATGTGTGTTCTTCACGAAAATAATTATGTGCAATATATATGTATTCCTTGGCCTCTTTTATTCGGAATTTGTTTTTTCGGTCTTCAATCCGATGGCATATAAATATTGACTGAAATAAAATATGGCCTTAATATTCTCCGATATTGGAATTACTTTCGGAATTTATATGCAGAAATGTGTGTTCTTCAAGAAAATAATTACTTGCAATATATGTATTCCTTTTTGGTCTCTTTTTCGGAATTTTGTTTGGGTCTTCAATCCGATGGCATATAAATATTGACTGAAATAAAATATGGCATTAATATTATCCGCTATTAGAATTACTTTCGGAATTTATATGCAGAAATGCGTGTTCTTCCCGAAATAATTATGTGCAATATACAGGTATTCCTTGGTCTCTTTCTGATTTTATTTTTTTCGTTTCTGAATCCTCATAGAAAGCGAATTGAACTGCAACTTTTCTACTTCTCAATTATTTTTATAGCGCGATTTTTTCCATTCGTGAGTAACATTGATTTTCAGTTTAATTTTCTTTGAATTTTCAAAGAAAAATTCTTAAATGAAAAGGCCTTGGATTATGAAAGTTTGATCATGCATATGTTTGTGAGGATTGTTTTTTGTTGTGCTTTTTCCGAAGTAAATGTTAAAAAGACTTTTCGATACTTTATTAAAAATTCTCTCGAGACTTTCGAAAAAGTTTCGAAACCGCTGACTCGACTACATAAATGCTCAGCAGCTGCAAAAATAAATATAGTAATTTAAACGAGATTTCGGTGATGTAAATGAGCTGAATTTAAAATGACGCTATAATATAGCTACTTGATAGCCAGAAAAATTAATTTGCATGCACACTATCAATAGGTCAGGTACATTTTTGAAGATATTTTTTTATTAGGCAACGAACGCAACGCAAACAAATGCGTGTTCTCAGTGGTTATCTTTGAAATAACCGCACGGAAATTACATACAGTATATGTATTTTTTATTTCGACCATTTTTAGCATTGGGTTATTATTATGACCGGACTTCAATATTAAAATCTTCCAAATTTTGCATGCCAAATTTTTAAATCTGTTGGATAAATGCCAATGCAAGCGTCTGTTCAGAAACTTTATACTGTACCTTACAAAAAAAGTTCCGTCTTCACTGGAATAAATGGGGATTTGATGCATTTATATTATTAGCAGCAGCATTAAAAAAAAAAGATGAAGAATCCACGAGGAACTAAGTTTGATGCGTCGAACAGTATTCTTGCTACGTCAACTTCTTGCCATATTATAATACAGTATTTGTCCTTCTCTCTTTATTTTATTTCATCAGGAGGAAGCAAAGAAGCTGCATTTCTTCATGCTGTAACTTCGGCTGGAGTCACTTACGCCGTGAGTCGGAGTTGCAGTCGGGGCGATTTAGCCACTTGCCATTGCGACAAAAAAACAGTGGGTTTTGTTATTGACAATTTTTTTTTGAAATTTCGTTTATTTTTCTGTAGGAGATGATTTCTGTGTTATAAAAATGCGGACGAAACGGTTCAAGATGATTTTCGTTGACTTTAGCAATTTCAAATAGAATAGGTGAGCATTTTTCCTAGAGGGTCGTTTGGTTGAGGAGAAAGTGAAGAAAATTATCGAGTGTGCAAAATATTTCAATATTTTCAAATTTAGTCTTTTAAAACTGTAAGCTTCAGAACGAGGATCATCGATGACACAGTTAATGGTGATTTGGATGAATTAGAACTGGACATATTACTTCTGCTAAATATATCTTTGATTGTACAAATTGATTTTTTCAAGCAGTTATGCATGTATAGGTGAACGTAAAAAATGATAATTCAATCACACACACAGTGACGATTTTGATCATTGACATTTTTAAATTCGATTCAAAGCAGAAAGATATTGAAAGTTGTTTTTGATGGTGTAGATCTGTAGAATTTTTGAAACATTTCACATATAGGATGTGTCAAAAATAAAATAATCAATCTTGTGCATGTAAATAGCTTGATTTGTTTGAAAGATATCAAAATTTGGAAATAGAATGTTTAGATTTTTTGGGAAAATTTCAGGAAAGTGTCCCTAACTCAAGCCATTGTCCACATGTTGGGCCTGATTTTTTTGGTTTTCAAGTGTCCCTTAGTCAAATTGTCCATATGTTGGGGTGTCTGCAAATATCAGGGTCTCACTGTAATTGAAAATGACCATGTACAGTGAGAGCCCCACATGTGGACACCTCAACATGGGGACAATTTGACAAAGAAACATTTATTTTTCAATAAAAAATTATAAAAAGGCCCAAATTATGGACATTGACTCAACATGAAGACATTGCATGATAAAATTGTCAATGAATTTTAGGAAAATTGACTTTTATTAAGCTTAATTTCAAGAAACAGATATTTCTAACCCTAAGAGCTATGCAAGAAAAATTCTTTGGTACTTTCCCCATCACTTTCCGATCCATCCGGCTAATTTGAAAAAATTACAAATAGCACAGAGGGACTTTCTTCTCTCTTTGTGACTTGGATGTTATTTTTACAGATGCCAACATTTCAATGAACTGTACAGTGATATACTATTCAATGCTCCAAATTTTCTTATTGGGTTGAAAATATATTCACTGTATCAAATTTGAGTGGCAAACAATTTTTTTTCGTGGAATTCTGAAAAATATTTCTTCAGTAAAACACAAATTAAAAATTACATAATGTAAGTCTATGGGAAAACAAGACTTGACTTAGGGACAATTCAAAATAGGGACACTATTGATGCACCAATGATGTCTGCATCTGGGGGTCTCACTGTATTTGACATGATGGAACCAAATTACTTTTGAACTTTTTTCACCCCATCCATTTAAAAGGATTTTTGATCGTTTCGCATTCAGATTATCAATCAACCCAGTATCCATCAGTGCTTGAATTCAATTTTTAAAGTTTTACAAATTTTTTCTTCATATGTTGTAGTACCCAGTGAGAGGCATGGAACTGGAAACCCTGTATGCCCCGGACTTCAAGTGGGGCGGTTGCACTGACAACGTGCGCTACGGCAGCGTTTTCACGCGGAAGTTCGTGGACTCCAAGGACAAGTTCACTCGTGACGCCCGGGCCCAGATGAACCTGCACAATAACCGTGCTGGGCGAAAGGTCAGTGATGGAAAAATCAAATAAGCTTTTCAAACAATTCCAAAAAAAAAATAGACCTCTATATATCCTGCCTATAATGCACGGCGAGTGTGTTGACTGTTGAGACACTTTCTTCATCAAGAATCCATGAAAAAAAAAATCCTGAGAGTGAGAGTGGTTCTCCGAAAAGTGTGGGGCTAAGAAAAAGAAAATTTCTTGAATTCAGATTGCGAANCAAGTTATTCTTGCAAGTTGAGTTTGTTGAGTCAATTTATTCAGTTATACTTTGTGAAATATATCACTTTTCCCTTTAAACCAAGAATTCCTAAAAGGAATTCCAGGTCCTGTCCTGGACTGATTAACGTGTTTTATTATCTTTTAATCAACACTCCACATCAAATTATATTGAAGACATTTGTCCTCAATAATTATTTTGAAAAAATTAAGCAAAATTGATTAGTTTTCTAACTTTTATTCTGATTGTTGCACGTACTGTACAAGTATATCATCGCAACAACAAACACTGAAAACTGAAATACGGGATATATTTTTTTCATCATAACCCAAAAAATGAATTTCTTGCGATAAAACTTGAAATTTCGTGATAATTACACTAATAGCACCAATATTATAATGGTCCTGGTTTGACCTCTGGACAGTTTTTGTTGTTGTTGTTGTAGTTTTTGTAATAATCAATGCAGATAATGGAATTTCACGTGCAAGTTTTAAATTTTCGCGTGGATGCGTTTGAATTATTTTTCCTTCTTCAGGCGGTGAGGCGACATCTGTCGTTGGACTGCAAGTGCCACGGGGTTTCCGGTTCCTGCGCAGTGCGGACTTGCTGGCAGAGACTGGAGAGCTTCCGCGGGATCGGCGACTTCCTCAAGCGGAAGTTCGACAGTGCGACGGAAGTGACACTGAGCCCCGACGGCGCCGGTCTCGTCGTCAGCAATGCCTGGGCTGCTCAGCCACCCACCAAGGGCGACCTGGTGTATTTCGAAGAGAGTCCAGATTTTTGCGAAGCCAATGCAGAAGGTCAGTCGTCTATTCTTTTTTTTTCAATCTATCCATTTGAAACTGCTCAAGTATTTGAAGTTATGATACATGCGAAAATTTCGCAACGCAGCTTCCGGTTTCATTCAATTTTCATATACTGTACAATACAGTACCTTGTACAGTATACGAGGATTGTCCCACTTGAATGTAGACTTGGGCATTTCTAGGGTGGGTACCATTGCAAATGCAATTTTTTTTTATCCCGTGATGTTCTAAGGTTCTCAGGATTTTTTTCAAATTTTTCACAAAAAAATTCAATTTTTGGCATGATGACAAGTGACAACTTTTCAGTTTTTGGTGCACTTCTCCACTCATGTGTCAGTACATTTAAAAAATTGAATAATTTTTTTATCTAAAAAAATTCCCAGAGCCTTAGAACATCACCTGATAAAGCATGCATTTTTATTTGCAGTGGTACCCACTCTAGAAATACCCAATGTTAGGTTCAATTGGGACAACCCTCGTATTTGAACTATCTCGGACTTTGGTGCATCTAATGTATATATCTCGAATTCTGAGCTGGTTATGAATATTTGACATGATTGCAAGTTTAAAAAGGAAAAGATTATTTAAACCTTCAATTATTCTGCTCACATTCTCAAAGTTGTATTAAAAGAATCAGATTTGAGATTTGAAAACTTTGAGAATGGATGCAAAACGTGTGGAATTGAGAATCCGATCGGATCAAGAAAAGTTTATTTAAATTTTGAAAAATATAACCAAGGCAAAAGTTTAGCATTCATTTTGGAAATTTCTTTGAAATTTAGTTTTTTATTGCTGTGGAATGAATCGAATTAGAAAATCTATTATGGTGTCCATGGATTGTAGAATAAAATGGAAAATTCACTTGCCAAGATTATCGTAATATACAGTATACAGTATATCAAATTTTTCTTCCTTTTGCACAAATGTATCAGGAGATGATTTAAAATTGAAGAAGAACTTGTGTACATCTGAAATTCACGGGTTCACTGTAATTTGTAAATTATATCCATTTATGAGAAAAATTTTGGAGCGCAACGATGAGAAAATGTTGACTTTTTACTCCAGAAAAAAACGAGCAAAAATTTCGAAAAAATTATTGAAATATTCAATGAACGTTCAATCGTCATCGAAATTTACAAAACGTGTTCCGCCGTTTTCAAAGCTAAAAGCACTTTTATGAACCCTAGCGATCGTCAGCCGACAAAAAAAACTTATAATTCCAGAGATGAGCTCAACGAACCCGTTCGACCGCAACCCGTTGCTTGTGAAAAAAAAAATAATATAAAAAAATAAATAAACCGCAGCGTGAAAGGCTGAGAAGACTAAACGAGCCATTTCGAGAATGCGGCAGTTACTGGAGGGTTATTCTATTTTATTTTAATTTTTACATGTCACATTTACTTGCTATTATTCGTTTTCGAAACAAATGTTTCATTCGTTTTGTTCCGAATTCTCTATATACCTTTTGTCCTTTGTTAGATGCGCATGCGGACCTGAGTCATGTTCCTTGCTCACGCCCTGATTTTTTTGTTTGTTCCGTTTCTCAGAAATACATGCTTAAGCTACGATGCAACCGATCTGTCATGCCAACAGCAGGCATATATACAGGGTTGTACAGAATATTTGAGACAATTTTCCAAACGCAACTTCATTCAAGAAATCAAAATACAGGATGAGAAATCGCTTTCAGTCTCAAACAAAACTTAAATTCGACTTTTTAGACGCTTTTGTTTTATATTTGTATTATCTACAGCATATTTACATGGTGACTATGTTTATTCACGAGCATTTATCTCTGTAAAATATTGAAAAGGCCGAAAACAATCAACAAAGGAATTTTTTTCAATTTGAAAAATATGGATGCTGCCGAAGATTAATTTCAAAGTGACGACGATCCACTGCGGTTTTTCATTTACAAGTAGTGCAATATTTATTTTCTTCGTATTGCACTTCATGATTAATTTGGCCATTTTAAATTTAATTGGCAAAAACAATCAAAACTTCCGAGTTTCATTTATATTTAAAACGAATTTCATCGAATGTTGACAAAAATAAAGAGAGACTACCTTCTTGGACCACGTGTGGCGTCAATTGATTTTATCTTTCCATCGTAGAAAGGGACCATTCCGTAGATCCCAGCAATATTAACTTTACTGCATTAATATTTTTTTATGGTAGCGTGAATTGACTTTTTTATATTTCGGTCGATTTTTTTGTGTGAGTAATACGAAAATGGTCAAATCAAAGTATATGCCACTGCATGATATTTAAAATCAAATTCAAATTTATTTCACATTCAAAAGCCAAGATCCTTGTTTCAAGGATTCGGTTTTAAGGATTTGGTTGTTAAGGCGGTGTGTGTTTCTTGCAATTAAGCCTAATAAAAGTCAATTTTCCTAAAATTTATTGGCAATTTTATGATGCAATGTCCTCATGTCAAGTCAGTGTCCACATTTTGGGCCTTTTTATGATTTTTTAATTGAATAATAAATATCCCTAAGTCGAATTGTTCCCATCTCAAGGTGTATGCATGTGGGGGTCTCACTGTATTAACCCAAGATGCGGACATAATGGGTGCATCAAGAGTGTCCCTAAGTTGAATTGTCCCTAATTTGAGTCTTGTTTTCCCATAAAAAAGGCCCATGATATAATTTTTAATTGGTGTTTTACAGGAGAAATATTTTTTGGATATTGTTTGCCACTTGAATTTGAATTAGTGAATACATTTTCAACTTGATAAGAACGTTTGGAGCATTGAATAGTGTCTCTCTGTACAGTACATTGAAATGTTGACATCTACAAAAATAACATTCAAGTGAAAAAAGTAGAAGTCCCTCCATGCTGGAGGTAATTTTTTTTAATTAGCTAAATGGATGGTAAATTGGTGAGAGAAATGCCCAAGAACTTTTCTTACATCAATTTTAGGGTTGGAAATATCTGTTTCTTGTAATTTGGCCTGAAATGAATTTGCAATTTTATCACAAAATGTNCCCAAGAACTTTTCTTACATCAATTTTAGGGTTGGAAATATCTGTTTCTTGTAATTTGGCCTGAAATGAATTTGCAATTTTATCACAAAATGTTCCTATGTTGAGTCAGTGTCCTCATGTTGGGCCTTTTTTATTAATGTTTTCTGGGGAAATAAGTTTCCCTATGTTCAATTGTCCGCAGGTCAAGGTGTCCGCATGTGGGGGTCTCACTGTATATATGCACACGTTGAGTAAGTACTCCCTGTAATTCGCAGCAATCACTTTCTTTGTGTCCTCTACACATGGAGGATGAGAAAACTGCTGACCAAGTCATCAGATCTTGTTTAATTTTTGTTTCTGGGCCCGGCGGGCGTCTTTCCTCGTTTTCCAGAATATATATATATATATACAGTATATACATTTTTTATTTTCCGCTTTTTCGAGTTTCGCTACGGTCAACCATGACTACAATCCGCCTTTGTCCGAATGCGCGAGTTTTTCGTGGAACGCTGGAGTGGCAGCTCGAGAGACGCATTTTGCCCTGGCCGAGGGCCATTAAGGCGGTGTGAAAAGAACCTCCCGCGTATTGATTGCCACTTCTCCCGGGGGCCCCCATCAGCAAAACTGAGCACCGTGTATAGGGGTTCCTCGAGTAAGTTCTGATGGAAACGTATCGGGGTAACCCGGATGAGCTGGGCTTTGGTTCACAAATACAAGTGGGCTCTCTCTCTCTTTCTCTCTTTCTGCAGCAAAAGTCATGGGACCAGGAAAAATTTGCTGTAGAGAGAATTTTGTTGTATAGACTATAGAGGACGCTTTTAGCAAGGGGAGAAAATCTAAACAGAACCACCGCAAAATCATTACAGTTGAACCTCTGTAAGTCAAATTTTATATAGGGACCAGGAAAAAAAAGGCAACTTAGGGAGGTTTTGATTTCTGGAGATTTCCAGTTAAGGAAGCAAACGCTTTTGTTGCCAGGAGAAGTGAAAAAGTGTGGGAAATTGCAAATGAGGATATTCTGAGCCTAAACTTGCTCATTAAGGAGTTAACACCTTGCTAAACTTGGAGGTCTCTATCAGTCTTTCACTTCCTTTCAAGATGCATGAAATAATTTGTTTTAATGGTTTTCTCTTTTGTTTTAAAAGGAAATAATAACTAATAGGCCTCAGAAAATGTGACTTACGCAGGTTTTAGAAAAAAATACTTGAAGTTAGGGAGGCTTTTAATGAATTGATTCAAAGGGAATTCCATCATGGACTTGAAAAAAAAATTGACTCAGGGAGGAGTTTAACTTAGGGAGGTTTGACTTATCAAGGTTCAAATTTATATGGAGACATTTATTGTTAACATTCTAATTTCATTTTTAAATTTCATTTTTTACTTAAGTATTGTTTACCCCCTGCCCTATTGTGCTATCCCAATGCACACACAATAAATTGGGTGGAAGAATTTCCCAATGGTAGAAACAGAGAGTCCCAGAAAAATTGATAAACTTTCAGAAATTTTCTTCACAAGATGCTGAGTCCAGCATTGTCTTTGACTCTGATATTCTGGCCAATCCCAGGCATTTAAAAAATCACCTGTCACAAGGCCAGTGCGCCACAATAATTAATAAAACCTCTTTTCCATAGGCATCGTCATCAGTGGTGTATGCCTAGCTGTCATTTGATGAACAATGCATTGTCTGAGCTTATTGAAAGGTTAACTGCAATTTTTTTCTATTGTTTGTGACTTATTTCTAAACTCAATTTGTCGGGAAAATTTTCTGAAATAAACTTTAAATTTAACTCTGGGATTCTACCAAGAATTCCTGGCCCCTGTCCCAGGCTGAATCTGTGTTTTCTTTATCAAACTTATTTTCTTGATCCGCAGATTTTCTTCAACCTTT